CCCGGCAGCCTTCCCAGCGAGCCCGCCCTCCTGGGGCTGCTGCTGTGGGTCCCCAGCGCCGATTCCGTGCGAGCGGGACCCACCTTCTCCATTGTCCAGGCAGTCCACTCTCCCAAAAGGACGGTCGGCCTCCCCGGGGGCACGGGAGGTACCTGCTTCGTAGGTGCCAGCGGCTGGCTCAGGGCCACAGAGAGGGCCCAGCGAGAGGCAGGGGCCTCCCGTGCACGGGGACTCGCGGCCAGGCTGCGGGCTGGGGGACGCCGGCGACACGGGCTCGCTGCCCTCTCCCATCCGGTGGCCCAGGCGGCAGGCGGGGCCGATGGGTCCCATGGTCCTTGCTGCCGCGTCCAGACAGGGCTTGGAAGCGCCTCCTGGGAGGAAGGCCGCCCCTCCCTTGACGGCCGCCCGCGGCCGCACCCCACTCTCCGCCTCGCAGCGCGCCCACCGCTCCTGGCAATTACGTGGTTTTGGACTGACTGAGGGCCTGCTCTCCCTGTTAGCCAGGAAGATGCAGGCGGCGGGACCACGTCAGCGTTCGCTCTCCACAGCGGCCCTGGTGCTCAGGGCCCTGGTCGCTCGGAAAGAGCTCGGTAAATATTTGCTGGATGTGGACGGAATGCTTGAGTCCATGGATGATGGAAGGACAGGGCCCAGGCCTCCTTGTCAAGACACCGGGGTTGACCCCTGGCCCAGCAGCTCCCGCACTGGGCGTGCCCTGGCACCTGGGTCAGTGAGGCCTTACCTCCTGCCCCCCGCCCCCCAGAGGTGTCAGCAGACCAGGACAAAGCCTGTCCCTCTGGGCGTGAAGGCCACAGGGAATGCACTTTGGACTTGAGAGCTGGTTCATGGTGGAGCCAGTGGGCTCATGGTCGGGGTGGGCCCAGGACCCCGGGCCCAGCGGTGGGCAGAGCCAGACCCCCGGCTCTGCAGGCAGGAGGCGTGGCCTGGACTCTGGACTGTTCAGCATCCAGCGGCGGCATCACCAGCTGCGTCTCAATAGCCCGCAGGCCCCCCTGCACCCGGCTCCCGAGACAGGGAGGGGAGCGAAGGGCGCTGTGAGCCCCCCTTTGCTGTTTCCACAGCTGGGGCCGGACGGCTGCTCCCCTCTGGGGGTTCGGGGCCCCCCGAGCCTGTTTTCCCCACAGCCTGGCCCTGCTCGGACCAGCGAAGCCTGCCTAATGTGTCCTGGGGGAGGCCCATGCCTTAGGCAAAGCAGCTCCCGCTGGCCCGGACCCAGTGGGAGTTGGTGCATGTGCTCAGGGGGCGGGGGAGGGGGGGGGGGGGCTTGAGGACGGCCGAGTGGGCTGGTAGGGCCCTTCCGAGGGAGCCCCCTGTGTCTCAGGAGGCAGGGTCGCAGAGACCCATCAGCCAGCTCCGTGCGGACCCCCCAGCACTGCCTATCTTCAGGGGACCCGTTGGCCTCTGTGGCCCGTGACCTGCCGTGCGCCAGCAGTGACCAGCGTGGCCTCCCACGCGCCCCAGTGGACTGCTCTGTGTAATGTCCCGGCACGGCTGAGATGGAATTTTCCACCAGCCCAGGACGCGGCGGCACCAAACCGGCTTTGTAGTCGTTTGCCTGGGAAAATGTGCCGTTCCTTCTGCACCCGCATCACGGCCGGAGGCTCAGAGCTGCCGCAGGGTCCGCTCCCGGGCGGCAGGAGTTTTTCCTTCTGGTCCGTCCCGTTCATCCTTGGACTGACTACACGGCTCGGCGCACAGAGGCACGTGCCGAGTTTGCAGGGAGCTTGAGAAGACTGTAGAAGTGTCCCTCAGGTTCTTTGCACCGTGACTCTGGCAAACCGGGATTCTCGTGCGCATTCCCCCCCTCCCTTCCCCGAATCCCGCTCCGGCTGCCCCAGCGCACGCACGCTGTCCGCAGAAGCAATCAACGCCTTGTCTACACGTGTGCGTGCAGCGCGTACGCGGGTTAGCGTGTCACATCTCACCCGTTTTCATCTTTTGCACAACTGCGCATGCCCATCCACCTTTGGGCTGGGGGGCGCCAGCTACCCAGTCCACGCCGGACACCCTCCAGGATCGCTCCGCCCGGCAGTGGAATTGCTGGGCGCTGTGAGGTCTGCGGGTGACCTTTCCGGGAAAGGCCGCGGGGAACCTGGCATCCGCCGGCGGGGCTGGCTCCCCTCTGGCTCCCCCCTGGCTCCCTCCGTTTCCCGATCTGGGCCGCGCCTGCGTCCCCCAGCTCGCTCTTTTCCAACCTAATTTGGGATGACGTGGGACCTCCGTGTTGTTTTAAGTTGCTTTTTTTTTTTTTTGCCCATTTTGGAGGAAGGATGGAAACTTCGAGAAGGGACGTGCCCAGAGGCCCTCCGCGGCTGTGTGGGGCGCTGGGCTTTGCCGCCCACCCAAGGCTCAGGCTGCAGCCGGCAGGGGCGGAGGTGCCCCTGCCTGGGCCGCGGGCTCCGCCAGCACCGCTGGGGCCTGCGTGCCTGCACGTCTTCCGCTGTGATCGAGCCCCACCTGGTGGCGTCCGGAGGGAACTGCAACTACGGAGGGGCGAGAATCTGACTTGTCTCACTTTGGAGGCTCCTATTGTTTTGTTTTTTCTCCTCAACTTTAACATTTATTTTTGAGACATAACTGGCATACGTCGCATTCGTTTCAGGTGTACAGTACGAGCTCTTCCGTGATGAGAATTCTCACGACCCACTCTCTTAGCGAGCCCCAAATACACGCCCCCGCTCTCAGCTGCGAGCCCCACGGAGGCTGGCGGTTTCCTCCAATCACTCCGCGACCGACCGCGTCCACCTGGAATCGGTGTTTGCTCTGGGTGGGAGGCGGACCCCGGCCGGCACTTTTTCCGCACGGCTGTGTGACCAGCCCGATTTATCTCCCCACCGCACCACAGCCCGCTCCTCACTAGCAGAGCCGGTCCCAGTTTGTAGGGGTCGCCCCCCACTGGGGGAAACTTTCAGGAAATACGGGGCCGCCGGCCCTCCACGAGCTCCTTTCCCAGCGGGCGAAACACCGGAGCACGCGCCCGCCTTTCCCAGGCCGCTCTGGGAGCCTTGGGGCCCACCCGCTGACGCAGAGGCTCCTTGGGCCTGTGGGACCCGCACCTGGGAGCCCTGCGGACCCCTAGGGCGCCCATGTGTCCCTCGCAACTGGGCGGGGGGTGGTCCCTGCCCTGTATTCACCTCCCCTCCCCCTTCCAGTCCCCGGGAAGCCTGAAACCACGCTGTGCAGGCGCTGGGGTCTGAGGGGTGGGCCTCCCACCGCAACGGGCCCTCTAAGGGTCTGGGAGCGCCAAGCAGGCCCCTGGGGACAGGCAGACCTTTTGCTAAATTGCTCCAGTTTGTGGAAAGGGGTTGCGCGTGGATGAGGGACTCCGGGAATGGGAGCTTGGGGGCGGGGTGGCCACTCCCCCCCACCCCCAGAGTCAGGGCTGAGGGTCAGAGCACTGTGCCCTGGGGCCTGAGCTCCGGCACTTGCCGCGGGCAGGGGTGGGCAGCGTGGGCAGCGGCTGGGGGAACCGGGCTGGGAGGGTGTGAGGGTGTGGGTGGCAGTGCCGCTCTGCCAGGAATCAGCAGGGTCTCGGGGACTCTCTGCCCCTCTCCGGTCTCCAACTCGTCACCTTCGGTCTCTGCGTCACAGGTTGAAGTGGGTTCCCCCAAAGGTGTTGGTGAAAACCTGACACCCTGGTACCTGGTTATATTTGCACATAGGGTCTTTGCAGATATGATCAGGTTAAGATGAGGTCATGAGGGGGGTCCCTGATTTAATCAGATTTTAGAGAATCAATTTGCCGTCCTACTTATTCATGCACTCATGGGTTCCTTCTCGGATGTGCCCGGACCAGGGACCCACCCTGCACCCTTGGCCTGTGGGGACCACGCCCCAACCAGCTGTGACACCAGCCAGGGCCTCCCTCCCCCTTTTGGAGATGTGCCCCCCCCCCGGCGGGGACAGGCACTTCCCGGAGAGCCGGGGCGTCTCGCAGTCCTCTACAGGGCTGTCTGGAGATTCTGCCGCGGCTCTGCCCGGACGCCCAGTGCGTGGGGGCTGGACTCCGGGCACGCCTCTGACCTGTCCGTTCCTCTAGTACGCCATAGGTGGGCAGGGGTGGGGGCCAGGGGGTTCTGGAAGCTTCCACAGCTTTCCTTGGACACCCAAGGCCATGACTCAGTGGAGAGAGCCCCTCACCTCCGAGGGTCAAGGGTCACTTTGGAGCCTCAAGGCGGGGCTGGGAACTTACGCACAGACTGGAAACCCTGCTGTTTGGTGTTTGGGGCCGAGTGAAAGCTGGCCAGCTGGCCAGTGGCTGCTCATCAGCACCCCTGGCCCCTGGGGCTTCCCTTGCTCCTGGGGGCTCAGGGACCACTGGCCTGTGGGGTCACCCACCAGGGGGATATGGGTTTGCCATCCCCGGCTTTTCAACAGGGTTTGACTCAACAATGACACGCCCAGTTCTGAGGACCGTTCTGGGGAAGGGGGGCCGGTCCACCCCCGGGGACCGTGGGAGTGGCTCACATTTGCAGCGTGAGCTGTGAAGCCTCCCTGTCTCCGCTGGGCTTCCTGGGGGGCCCTGCGGTCCCCCTCAGCCCGCTCGGCAGGCAGGCAGGCGCGTCACGGCCCCTTTCGCAGACGGAGTGGCCAAGTGGCGGCCAGCAAGCGGGACAGCTGGGCTCGGAACCTGACCAGCAGCTGCTCCAGGATGGGGACCGTGTCTGAAGCATCCATGGGTTTGTTGGGGTCTCCAGGACGCGAGGTGGCAGAGCGGGGGCTAAGATGAGACAACCGGCCTCGTGCCCCCCACGCCCTCCCCACGCACTCCCCACGCCCTCCCCACGCCCTCCCCACGCCCTCCCCACGCCCTCCCCGTCCTCCCTGTCCTCCCCGTCTGTGTGAGCTGGCAAGCTCTGAGCCCTCTGTGGCTCCTTTGCAGTGGAGCAACCCTTTTCTGTGTGTGTGTCTGTGTCTGTGCGGGCTCCACAGCTCCCACGCCGCGTGGCTTGCAAGACCCGGGGTGCACGTGACCTCCACCAGCCCCACAACCCTTATCCCCCCCCAATTCCTTCTGGGGACTCCGTGCCCACCTCTCCCGCTCCTTTCAGACTCCTCCCCAGAAGCCCTTCCCGAGGTATGTTTTGGGGGGGAGGAGACAGCCCCGTGTCTCCTCAGTCAGCTCTGCCCCAGGGACGAGGACACACACCGAAGCAGCACCAGGTCCTTGCGGCCTTGCCTTGTTCTCTAAGCACTGCTGTCTGAGGGCCGGGCGCGCCGTGCTGGAGGGTGGGCCTCGGGGAGGGGGGCGGCTGGCTCAGAGGGCCACCATGGAGGTCTGGGAGAACACCTTCTTGGCGTCTATCTCCGCTTCCACCATGTGGGGGTGGATGTCCACGGCCATTCCCACGTCCTTGCACAGCTTGACCAGCGTCCGGATGTTGTTCGGGGACAGCCGCAGGTACCTGTGCGGGGCAAGGTCAAGGAGGTCAGCCGCGGGGCGCGTCACTGCCCTGGCTTTGCACTGGACTGAAAAGAGCTTAGACTCTGCCCCGGGGGACTGGCTCCAGACATTTCTGGGGCTGACGGGGACCTTGTTTTAAAAAGTGGGACACCCCACGGAGTTGCTGGCAGTTTTATTGGTAGTGAACTCTTCCGGAAATCCACATGGTAACCTACAGGCCAAGCCCTGCCCTTGCCTGCCCCTCCCGCCGGGAGGCTCACTGTCGGGCACTGAGTAACCCCACTCGGGCCTCAGCTTATCTCAAGGAAAAGAGTCAGTGGGAAGAAAGGCTAAAGCCTTCCTGCAATACAGAAAGTGCACTACAAGTGTGCACTACAAGTGTGCAATACAAGTGTGCACGGGGGCGTCATCGGCCACAGGGAAACAGCAGAGTCTGTGATGGGGGGATGGTTAAGCGAATAAGGGGGGAACGGCAGCTCCAGGGCCGTGCAGCTGGCACTCAGACGGTGGCGTCGGGGCAGCCGGAGGAAAGGCCGAGTGTGGCTGCAGGTGCACAGGCCGGCATGTCCCTTTAAATATTCAAACGAGGAGGAAACATCAGGCCATTGATTTGCATCAGGCCCGAAGCTCTGCAGCACTGACGGACCCTGAGAATGGTGTGGGTCGGCCTTGACCTTGCTCCCAGCTTCAGGGCAAAGACACGGGCCCCCACGCCAGGCCACCGACTGGCTGGTCACTCCACCGCGGGTGACGGGGAGGAGCTGCAGGTCCACCCACCGGGTGGGGTTTCCAACCCCTTAGGAACGGCCCCGCCTCCCCTCCGAGGCCTGCCCAGGGCTTCCCTGTTCAGACCGCCCACCGGCCCTGGGCCTCCTCTCGCCGCCAACCCCTGCCTGCCTGCCTGCCTGCCTGCCTCCCCGCCGGTCAGCCCTGCCTGCGGCCGCCTGCAGCCTACCAGCGAGGCCGCTGCTTCAACTCCGCGAGGAGGACCGGCCTCTGCCGAGGTCACTGAGCCTCGTCGGTCACGCCCCCACAGTAGCGGACGACACTGGGCTGGGGGGACACTCGGGTTTTGGGGTGGAGACCCGAGGGGCTGCCAGGTGTGGCTGAGAGCTGGCGGGTCCGATGGACCAGACGGAGGGCGGGCGCGGACGGAGACCCCGCGGTGAGAGCGGGGAACACGGGGTGGTGTCGCCCCGGGTCTGAGTCCCTTCGGGAGTCCCAACACCCCCACCGTGAGCGGGTGGCCCCTGGGGAGGGTGGCCCTTGGGGAGGATGGCTGCTGGCAGCGGCCACCACTGCGTCCTTCGCTCAGGGGGCTTCCTGGTCAAACAAGGCCACACGCAGCCCGTTCTTTCCTTCCAAGTGACACTGGGGGCTCCACCAGGGAGCGAGCAGAAACGCCAGGACGGTCGTGCGTGCCCAGGTGGCAGCACCTAGAGGTTGTGTCCACCCAGGACACGGTGCATGGGCAGGTGAGGCCCCCCCCTTTGGGGCTCAAAGACGGGGGGCCCCCCTCCTGATCTCCGGGCTCAGCCCAGGGGTCTGGGCCAGGGGCGGCGGCGAGCGAGGCGCGCCCTCCCGGGGCCCCGCTCACCGGCAGCTCAGCACCTCCTCTGGCTTCAGGATCCTCATGATCTCCGCCTTGGACTCCGCGCCCTTGTCGATGAGGCTCTTCAGCCTGCGGTCGTAGGAGGAGGCCTCGGGCACCTTGCCGATCCAGTCTCTCAGGAGGGTGGACCTCCGGCCCACAAAGGTCTGGTCCTGAAACACGGAGTCCGCCAGGCTTTGTCGAGAGAAGGGTCCTGGCCGCTGCGAGGACTCCTGGGCAGCCGGGTCCCTGAGCTCCAGGTCTGCAATGGGACAGAGGTCAGTGGGGGTCGGGTCCTGAGAGAGGTGGCAGGCAGGGCAGGCAGGGGCGCGGGGTGGGGAGGCGGGGCGAGGCCGGAAGATGCATGGGCTTCCAAGCCCACCTGCTGGGGACGTGAGGTCTTTTCAAGGCCGCGGCCGCTTTTCCTTCTCCTTCTCTGCATCTGTGTGAACCGTGTCTTCTCCTCCCTCCCTTCTCCCCGACTTCCCCACTCCCTCCCTCGCCCTTCTTTCCTTTATCCCTTCTCTCGGTTCTTCTTCTCTCCCTCCCCACGTGGAGCTCACCTAGGCGGGGACTCCAGCCTAGGAGGGTGGAAGGAAGATCGCAGAGGAGAGCACTGTTGAGCTGGGTTTCTGAAGGAAACGCAGATGGAAGGGGGAGAGAGGAGCATTGCAGACAGGAGGGAGGGACAGCGTGCATGGTAGGAGGGACAGTGTGTGCAGGTGGAACAGCATGTGCAGGTGGAACAGCATGTGCAGGCAGGAGGAACAGCGTGTGCAGGTGGAACAGCATGTGCAGGCGGGAGGAACAGCGTGTGCAGGTGGAACAGCATGTGCAGGCGGGAGGAACAGCATGTGCAGGTGGAACAGCGTGTGCAGGCGGGAGGAACAGCGTGTGCAGGTGGAACAGCATGTGCAGGCGGGAGGAACAGCGTGTGCAGGTGGAACAGCATGTGCAGGTGGAACAGCATGTGCAGGCGGGAGGAACAGCATGTGCAGGTGGAACAGCATGTGCAGGCGGGAGGAACAGCGTGTGCAGGTGGAACAGCATGTGCAGGCGGGAGGAACAGCGTGCACAAAGGCAAAAGGTAGAAACACATGAACTGGCGAGTGTCTGGAGTTGCCCAAATGTGGGGTCTGTACTGAATGAGATACTACTGGGGGCAGAGCTTGGAGACCTTAACATTTTTCTTTGTGATAAATTTACTTCTAAGTATTTAACAGATTTTTGCTGATGAGAATGGAATATTTTCTTCCCATTTCCATTTCCAACTGGTATGACTAAGACGGAAAAAAGACTAGGCTTTTTAAAAATACCTTTTCTACTACACCTACAAGGATTGCAACTTTTAATTTCTGACGGGAATTTCTCGCGTTCCGCAGATATGCCATGTTAGAAGAAATGAAAATATCGTCTAATATTTATAAAAACGACGCACCCTTTTTGGTGTGTCTGATAGACTCCCCAGGCAACCAGTGTCAATAAACAGGGCAGGCACACCTCATTTTCTTTCTGATTTTAGTGAAAATGATTTTCGTACTTTATCATTTAGCATGGTATTTGCCACTGCTTTTGGCATATGTTTTATGCCATTTAACAGCTTTATTCCTCGATTGCCTAGGTTTTTATCAGTAATAATTGCTTGATTTTGTCACTGATTTTCTGCCGTCAATGATCATGTGGTTTTTCCTCGGATTTATGGGTGTCATAAATGGTTATTAGATGTGTTGATATGGGTAACCTGGCCACCCCTACCCTGCTCTAATAAACCCTTGTTTGTGGTGTATTAGTCATCGCAAACATTGATATATTTAACATATTTTCACACATTGAGTCTATCTCCTAAATTTTTAAATATTTTTTGCATGTACAGTATGGTGAGATTGGCCGACTTTTGCATAAGGTTGTACTATCAAGATTACGATGGCTTGTTAAACCAATGCAAGGATGCCCGTGTTTTGTAGCGTCTGCCGTAGTCGGAGCTGCCGTGGGGTCATGTGTTCTCACAGGTGAGAACGAAGCTGGTGCGAAGCCGTTTGTCCCGGCGTCAGTGTTGGTGGTGACCAGGTGCCGCCGTCTCTCATGTTTACTTCAGAGATCGCTCTGGACTTTTCTGTTCTTTATTGTATCCATTTGGATCATTTGTCGTATGAGAGGGGATTACTCACTTCCTCTAGGTTTCCCAGTATGTTGTATAGAGATGCACGTGGTGTTCCGTTGAGATTCATTCACGGTATTTCCCTTCGCTTGCACGCCCTTCGCACACAAGACCTTGTGTGTGTCCGCCCTTCCTGTCAGCAGGGCTCACGAGAACGTCACGCCGCCAACCACGGGCTCTTTTCAGACGCTAGCTTTGGATTTACCCGTTCAACCCCTTTTTGTCTTTTTTTGTTTTAAAGATTTTATTTATTTATTTTTAGAGAGGGAAGGGAGGGAGAAGGAGAGAGAGAGAGAGACATCAATGTGCGGTTGCTGGGGGTCATGACCTGCAACCCAGGCATGTGCCCTGACTGGGAATCGAACCTGTGATGTTTTGGTTCGCAGCCCGTGCTTAATCCACTGAGCTACGCCAGCCAGGGCTCCCTTATCGTCTTGTATTTCGTCAGTCACAGCTGGTATTTAATGTGTCAATTCTCTACTCCATTATTTTTTCTATCTTATCAACTTAATAAGAGTGTTAGTTTTTCCTTTGTCACCTTTGTTTTGTGAAGACAGGAGCCACCACCATCAGACCGTCCTGTACATTTTTGCCTGATTGCAGGTTCCACTCCCCTCCCCCCGCCCCGCCACGGGTTTTGGTGTAAAACAGGCTTATTCTCACCGGTTGTTTCTCGTCTGACAGAGGGTCTGTGCGGAATGCGTTTCTTCGTTTCCAGCTGTTGAGTGGGGGCATCTCCTAATTTCCTGTCATTTTTAATGATTGGTTTGGGACACTGGGAGTGGCCCTGAAATCTCCGCTCTTTCTGAAGGGCGACGTTATCTTTGTGAGGAATATATACAGGTGACATTTGTGGGTGTCCTCTGGCCACGCAGAAACGCACGTTCTCTGTTTCCGCCTGAGGCCGGGGTCTGCCGATGGCACCGCCGGCGTGTTCTCTGGATTTCTGCTCCTGCCCGTGGCTCCCACCTGGTTCTGAAAGAGGCACGTTCAGGTCCCCGCTGCAACCGCCTCTCTGTCAGGTTCTCCCTGTGTTTCTACATGTTTATTTAGCTCCTGTATTTTTCGGTGTGTGCAGGTTTTAGGGTTATTTTTTCCTCCTCAGGATGGAAGAACATCCCTCTTCTAGTTGGTGTTTCTTTTAGCCAGAATTTCACCTCACCGGCTTGCATTTCTTCCCTCTGTGTCCACCCTTTGTGTTTCCAACCGTTCTGCATTAGTGGTTCTAAGTGTGTGTCTAGACTTTCATTTCACATCCACAGTTCCTCGGCGTGGTGCCTGAGCTCTCCCGGAGCGTGCTCTGGAGTTGAAGGGGCGCCTGGCCGAGGGAGTCCCTGCATGTTCCCACGTGTGCAGGGTCACAGTGACATGCGGGCGCCCGAGGACAGCGTTAGGGTCACCGGGCGGCAGGTCTTCCTGCCAGAAACGGCGTGTCTCTCACTTCCAGGCCGGTGCTGCTCCGGTTCCTTTCCCTTTGCAGGTCAGCTGTCCTCCTGTGAGCCTGTAAGGTTCCACCGGCGGAGTCAGGGTGGTGTACACCGGGCGGCGTCTGGGGGAAGGAGTCTCGGCCGCCTCCAGGGGTGTGAACGGCGGTGGGGGGGCGGCCACCTGGAGAGGGGCCACGACTGGCCACAGCAGCCGCCAGTGTCATGTTTCGGACAGGCCCGGCTGAGACCTGTGCTTTCCTCCGAGACGGGGGAGCAGGGGCCGATCCCCCGCCTCGAGCCGTCACAAAGCTGGGCCTGTTCCGTGACACAACAGTGTCGATTTTCCTAGAGCAAAGCAGAGGAGGGGAGTCCCACGAGAACCCCAGCCGACCGCTGTGGCGCAGGGTGGGCACTGAGACGGAGCCCGTGGCTTCCCCGATGGGGGGACGGCAGACAATTGGGACGGGCCCAGGCAGCGAGGACTCCCGGGGCGGGGGAGCCAGGAGGAAGCCTCCCTGAGACTGGCCAGCGTGCGCGGGAGGGGAACCTCACAGGACGGGCAGGCCAGACACGAAAGTGGCTACTGCCACTGGCCTCCATGCAGTCAACAGGGCTTGGGCGTGGTAATAAGACGAGACCCAGGACATTACCAACTCCGCACACAGAAGTTCTAGAATGAAAATGACCGTGTCTGGAGGGAAAGACGCATGGGGTGGAGTGAGCATCAGAACAGGCACTGGAAAGAAAAGGCGAGTGAACTTGAAGACATGGCAACAGAAAACATACAAAAAGAAAAGCCTGGAAAAGAACCCCAGTGAGCTGTGGAGCTTCAAACACGTGTGTTGCAGTGCCCGAGAGAGAGGAGGCAGTGGAGGGCGGAAAGAAATATTTAAAGAAATAATGGCCGAGATTTTCTCAGTTTGATGACAACTATAAACCAAGAATCTCAACAAGCCTCAAAACACAACAAACCATAAGCAAATGACATCAATGTGCATTCCAATCAAATTGAGCCCTGGCTGGTGTGGCTCAGTGGGTTGAGTGCCAGCCTGCGAACCAAAGGGTCACTGGTTCGATTCCCAGTCAGGGCACATGCCTGGGTTGTGGGCCAAGTCCCCAGTAGGGGGCGCACAAGAGGCAACCGCACACTGATGTTTCTCTCCCTCTCTTTCTTTCCCTTCCCCTCTCTCTAAAAATAAATAAAATCTTTTTTAAATGGCTCAAAAAATTCTCCAAAGAAGCCAGAGGGAAAAAAAGATATGTTGCTGCGCTGGTGGGCTGGTCCTCTGGTTGGAGTGTTACCCCGTGCACCACAAGGCTGCGGGTTCGCTCCTTGGTCGGGTCGTGCACAGGAGGCAAGAGATCCATGTTTCTTTCTCATACTGATGTTTCTCTCTCTCTCCAATCAATAAACATATCCTCAGGCGAGGATTTTAAAAGAACTAGTTAAAAAAGACCCACTGCAGAGGAACATATGTAACACGGCAGCCACCTCCTCCCGGGAGACACGGTGAGCCGCGGGACAGGGGGCGGAGCCCCACACTCCCGAGGGTCGGCCGGGCTGCCCCGGATGCCGCCGCTCCGGGAGGGCGCGTGCTTTCAGTCCCTGGGGAGGCGCTGAGGGTGGAGGGCCCCTGCGGAGCCTGCGGGGGTGGGGGGGGAGGGGGCTGGGGGCCCTCGCCCCTCGCCCCTCGCCCCTCGCCCCTCGCCCCTCGCCCCTCGCCCCTCCCCCCTCCCTCCTCCCTCACCGGATTTCCCGGGGCTGTCCTTGATGTAGCTGCCGGGGACCATGCTCAGGCGCTTCCCCTTCGCCTCCAGCCCGTACAGCCTGCGGTACGTGACGGCGTCCCTGTCCTTCCTGCTGGTCGGCTTCGGCTTCGGCTCTGGCACCTTGGGGGGCAGCGGGGCAGAGGTCACGTGCCGGGAGCAGGCGTGGCCTCCTCCACCCCCAGAGGGAGCGGTGGCAAGGGGGCCAAAGGAGAGGTGCGTCCTGGGGCGTGGGGCAGGTGTGGAGGCCGGGGGCGGGGGGGCACGGGGATGGCACGCTGGTGCCTTTCGCGACCCTGTGTCCCCGGGAAGCCTGTGGGGCCGAGGACCCCCCAGCCGGGGGCACTGAGGTCGGTGCTCCCCTCTTCCCGCCGGCGCCCCTGAGCGGCGCAGGGAGAGGGGGCGCTCGTCTTCCACGGGGCGGGGCGGGGCAGGCTGTTGGGCGGGAGCTGAGTGGGAGGTGGGGGGGGGCAATTCCATCTGATGTTAATGTGAGGAGGCAGGACCAGACGTCAGAGCCTTAAATTATTGTTGTTTTAGAAAGTAGTGATGCAGTGCAGGGGAGAGGAGCCTGGAGTGGGCGGGGGCGGGGGCGGGGGCGGGGGCTGCGTCACCTTCTCAGAGAAGGACACCTGGCGGCTCTGTTTGTTCTGCTTCTGGATGGGTCTGGGTTTCTTTTCTTCCTTCGGCTTGACTTTGCGGGCTGGCGCCGCCGGGGTGTGTTTCTGGAAGGGCAGAGAGGAAAGACGTGTGTCCCCTCCCACCCACCCAGAGCTTTGGCGCCATCTGGCCCTCCTGTCCCCTTTCCCGTCCCTCTTCCTCCAGACACGCCCGATGTCCGTGCCCCACCACCCCAGTCTGGCTGTCCCTCTGCACGTCAGCTCCCTGTCACCCTCCACGCAAGGGCCCCACGCCCCGGCCCAGCACAAATGCCTTCCAGTCCCCAGGTGGCCTTTCTAGCTGGGACTTCCCTGCCATGCCCCCCAGGCTCGGGCCACAAGGTGGTCACCTTGTCTGCAAACCCTGCAGGGCCCTCTCCCTGTCCCCAAGGGCCCCTCCTGCCCTTACCCCCACCCCCACCCCCACCCCCACCCCCACCCCCACCCCCACCCCCACCCATCCTGTCTTCCCGGGGCTGCCACAGCAGCCCGCCCCACTGTCTCATGTCCGGGCGCTCCCTGCGGCCACCAGGGGCTGAGCATACCACCCGTGTCCCCAAGTGGGCTTTCTCGTGCGCATGCCTGGCCCCCCACACCCGCCGGGTAGGCAGGGGGGATGGCTCTGTGAGGAGCACGGGGGGCCAGTGAGGAGTGGCCCACAGAGGGGGATCCGAGCCCACCCACGAGGGGTGGGTGGGGGTGAGCATCATGGCAAAGCCACATCAACTGGGTCCCCCCGTAGGGGGCGCCACAGGCGGCGGGCGGTGGGGAGATGGCGGCCCGGCGGCCCGGCGGCCCGGCGGCCCGGCGGCCCGGCTTGGAATCCTGTCTGCAGCTGGCGCCCGGGCAGCCTGGGGCACGTGACTTCTCTCTGGCTCGGCCCCCCTCCTTGGAGATGGGTCGGAAGCAGGGCCCGCCCCCAGGGTCATCGTGAGAAGTTGGGGGACAGCCGTGCGGGCGTGCTGCGCCTTCCAGTCTCGTGTGTGACGCTGGAAGGGGCAGGGGCGCCGTGACGAGCCGGCCGGGTGGGGGGAGGCCGCGGTCGGCGGGCGTGCCTGAGGCCGCCTCTGCCTCTTGTCTTCCTTCGTGGGGAGAGGGGCGCACATTTTAGGCTGAGAGCTGAGGCCCCAGCCAGCACCTTCATTGGTTGGCCTCTCCCCAGGAGTCCCGGGAGCAGCCCCCCGCCCCCATTTTGGGGAGAGCTGGGTGGAATCGATGTGGTCCTGCCACAGCCGCTGAGTCATCGGCCTCGGTGGCCAAGACATGGGACCTCTGGGGTCCTCCCTGGTGCCGGATGGGTCCCAGGGCCGCCGCCCTCTGGGTGGCACTGCGGCCATGCTGAAACAGGGGGAGGCCTGGACCTCCAGGACAAGGGACACTGCTGCGACGGCCTCGCTGAAGGGTCCCCTGCCTGTCACAGAACCATCACCTCCTTCCTCTGTTGCTTCTCTCAAAACCCAAATGCTCCCGGGAAGGGTAATGATCCTTGAAGATTTAACTGTCTTTTCCATTTAAATTTGTTCCGTCCCTCCCTGGGTCCCAAATTATTTATGATAAAGGCCACATGTACGGTACAGCTGTGCAAACGTTATTTGAACATCATCTTCGTGGGAAGAAACGGGACTGAACACGTTTCAGAGTAATCGGAGTTCCGAGTGCCCAGCAGTTGAGCCCCCGCAGCCCCAGAGACGGGGCGGGGGAGGGGGTGGGAGTGGGGGCAGGCCGTCCGTGAGCATGGAGCACCTGGGCGTTGGGTACACCCTCCGGTGGAATCGGCTGGAAATGGCCAGAAGCACGTGAACAGGGCAGGGGCCTCCCTGGAAGGCGGGGAGCCTGGAGCCGGAGAGAGAGCCGTGCAGGGCTGGGGGTGTGGGGGGGCTGGCCCGACAAAGCCCCTGAGCATGGAAACTGGATCCACCTGAGTGTGCGTCCCGGTTCACCCCTTAATGAACTCTGAGCTCGAGCAAGCGACTCCCCCTCCCCACAGCACCCCCCTTCCCCTTCAGCCGGGGAGCAGGGCTGGCTCTGACCCTGAGTCTCGCTGGGGGCAGCTGGCAAGGCGATGCCCAGCCCAGGGCCCGGCACCCAGGACGCGCTGGAAGCGAGCAACACGGTCCTCGGTGCTACTGTTCCCGCCCGTGTGGCTCTGGGGGCTGGGCAGCCGGGGCCGGCAGAACCCTCCACGGAAGAGACTGCTTTCCTAGGACGTGTTACAGCCTGGGGGGCCCCTGGGGGGGGTCCTGAGGGAGAACAGTGCTGCAGACTCAACAGCATACCCATGGATGGGGTCAGTGACCTCAGAAAAGTACCACCCCCAGAGCTTCCTGCCACCTCCGCCGCGTGAGGACACAGCAGAGACATGGCCATCTATGAGCCAGGGGCAGGCCCTCGCCAGACCCCAGACCCCACACCCACTGATGCCCCGGCCCAGGGCTGCCCAGGCTCCAGAACTGTGGGGAGGGACGCCTTCGCTGGCTGATACGCCCCCCACCCCCCGCCCCCCGCCCCCCGCCCCCCGCCCCCTGCCTGTGGGGCTCTGCCCGGGCAGCCCGAGCTCATGAGCCAGGCTGGCCCGACCTGGGGCGGTGTAGAGAGGCCGAGGCAGTGAGTGGGAGCAGCAGCGGGGACAGTGGCGGGGGACAGTGGATGCCCCTCGACCCTGGAGCCGTCACGGGGACGCGAGTGCCTGGGGGCAGTGAGAAGGACCCCCGAAGCTGCCGCCCCTCAGACCTCCGCAAGCACTGACCGCGGTGGCCTCAGGTTCCCCGTTTCTTCCTTGCTCTGCGCCCCGGCATTTCCTTCAGAAAACTGGGACCTGTCCATTCTTCCAACCCGGGACTGCGTTTCTCAAGGCCGTGGGGCCATGCCTTTGCAACGCACTCCCCAGGAAAGTCAGCACCCCCACCTCCGTCTCCGGAGGGGTCGCAGAGCCCAACTGCATTAGTGACAGTGAGAGAAAGTGGCGGCCCTGTCTCGGGGACGGGTCCCCCCTCAACACCCTTCAGTCCTTTCTGCTGGCTCACCCCGTGCGTACAAGCCCTCCTGCCTTCAGCCCGGGCCGGGCACCTCAGCCGGCCAGAGCACCATCCTGATACACCAAGGCGGCAGGTTCGATCCCCGGTCAGGGCACATGCAAGAATCAACCGATGGGGCCTCAGTTAGTGGAACAACAAATCGACGTTTCTTTCTGTCTCCCTCCTTTTCTCCCTCAAATAAAATCCAATTTTTTATTTTTTAAAAGATTTTATTTATTTATTTTTAGAGAGGGAAGGGAGGGAGAAAGAGAGAGAGACATCAATGTGCGGTTGCTGGGGGCCGTGGCCTGCAACCCAGGCATGTGCCCTGGCTGGGAATCGAACCTGTGACGCTTTGGTTCGCAGCCCGAGCTCAGTCCACTGAGCTACGCCAGCCAGGGCTAAATTCAATTTTTTAAAACGCGACAGCAACGAAACCCCCTCCCTCTTGCCTTTTTTCCTTCCAGAGCCACGTGCGGTCCCTCCCCCGTGGTGACAGCCGCTCGCAGGGCCTCCCTGGGGGCGGGGGGTGGCATCCGTCCTGTGGGCGGCACGCACCTGGGCGGCCTGGTCCTTCTTGCCCTGCCTCCGCTCCAGCCACTCGACCACCCGGGTGAGGTCGGACATGCGCCTCTCCTCCGCCGTCCGCCACATGGACTTCCTCTCGGTGGGCAGCACGTCCTTCAGGTCCTCCGGCTTCTCTGACGCCGGGGGGCTGGCGGGGGGCCTGGGGTCGGAAGGTGGCATGGCTCTCCCGCGGTCGGCCCCTCCGTCGCCAGGGGCTGGCCTGGGGGCTCCTCGGGAGGGCTGGGCCTCCAGAAGGGGGCAGAGAGGGCGGGGTTGGGCCAGCGGCTGGGGTACTGGCTCCCCAGGGCGGGGGGCCCAGAGCATGACTGTGAGGTCACTCTCAGCAGTCCAGCAGTGACTCTGTGACCGCACAATGGCCAACGGAGCTGCCCGGGCTGAAGGGAAGTGGTGGAGCTCTCTCTACGGGCCTGCGGCCGAGGACCAGGCTGCACGGGGTGGGGGTGGGGGTGGGGGGTGGGGGGTGGGGGTGGGGGTGGGGGTGGGCCACACCCGCTCCTGGAGGGAAAGAGTCAGGGGGCCGCGACAGGGCTCCGGGCCAAAGGGCGTGCGTGAGCCAGGGCCCCGCGGCGGGATGGGAGGACCGGCAGAAGGCCAGGGTGGCTGGTGGGAGGCGGGTGGCGGGCACCAGCCAGGCCCTTGGAGCTCCCGAGTGGCCCCAGCGGGAGGGACAGGCAAGCAGACGGAGGGCAGAGGGGCTCCAACGGAGAGGAGGGGGTGACACGGTCAGCCTGCTTTTTGAAACTTGTATCGAGGGAAACTGCACAGAAACGTGCGGGAATCACACGCGAAGACGCCAGCCCCCACCCGCCCCACAGGTGGACTCCACCACCCCGACTCTGGTTGGCCAGGCGGTTGTCACTCGAGCTTTGCGTACATGGAATCATTTACACATAGATGTTTGCATCCGGCTTTATTCATTTCACAATACGTTTGCAGGATTTTAGCGATGAACTTTAGTCTTTGCGCGTGTGTAAAAAAAGCCTCGATTCTACTTTATTTGTGAGGGGAGGCTCGCCGGGCGACAGGCCTCCGGCTCATCACTGGGCACCTCCGCCGACGCCCAGCTGCCTCCCGCCCCGCATGGCCTCACACGGAGGGCCGGCCGTGGAGCGTGTTGCTGTGAACAGCTCCCCCTCCCGCAGACACTGCGGCAGGACCGAGGCGGTCAGCAGCTTGTCCGGCCGCAGAGCCACTGCGGCGTCCGAGTGTCAGGGCGCGGACTGCACCCCCGGGAGTGCCCACTCCTTGCACTGACGGGGGGAAGACCAGAGCCCCGAGAACCCCAGAGACCTGCCCGAGGTCAGTGCAAAATAGCGGGGCACCCCGAGGTTCCATCAATAATGATGAGGCCTGTCCCGAAGACGTTTCCTATCTGCTGCATGGAATCAGGGGTCTCAAGTTCAAGGGGGGGTGGGCAGCTGCCACCGAGGAGGGAGCCGGCTGCGTGCGGGCAGTGGGGGCACG